CTTCACTTCCCATGGCTTCATAATATTTTCTTTTGTCTTCCCTGGCACTCTTCTTCACTCTTTTGTTCAGTGTATTGTAGCTTGCATTCAACTCCTGTTTTTGTTGCTCGTCGGTGCACTGGATAATCTTTTGTTTCAGCATCCTTCTCTCTTCTATTAGTCTCCAAGTGTCCACAGTGAGCCACTGTTTGTCCTGTCTCTTCTTTCTGCCTAGAACTTCCATGCAGGTTTGACTCCACACAGTTTTCAGGTTGTTCCAGTGCTTTTCGACGCCGACCTCTTCGCTAGTGTTGATTTGTGTCTCGGCTTTGTCCCTTATGCTTGCAATGCAGTTGTCCTTTGTAGCTCGGTTCTTCAGTTTCTGAGTGTTGAAATTGGCTTGTGGTCTATCTGCAGCTCCTGTTTCCCTGAAAGCTTTTAATTTGATTTGGATTGTCCCTTGTACGAGATAGTGGTCTGAGTCAACGTCTGCTTCTCTTCTTACTTTTGTGTCCAGTAGGCTGCGCCTCCACTTCCTTGAGATTGAGATGAAGTCAATTTGGTTTTTGGTTCTCCCGTCTGGTGACACCCATGTAGCCTTGTGGATATCTTTGTGCTTGTATACACTGCCACCAATCACTAGTTCGTTGAAGGCTCAGAAGTCGGCGAAGAGTTCTCCACTTTCATTTATTTATCCTAGAGCTTCTCTAATCATGATGAGTTCCCTTCCTGTGTTGTCTGGTCCCAGTTTGGCGTTCATGTCTCCCACTAGTATTTTCATGTCGCCAGCTGGAGTATTGTCCACTGCTGCCTGTAGTTGTCTGTAGAATTCTTCTTTATTTTCGAGGTCTGCGTTGTTTGTGGGTGCATAACATTGTATGATTGACACTTTCCTTCCTTTGGAGTTGAACCTGGCAGTCATTATCCTGGACGAGATCGCCTCCCATTGCATCAGGGCTTTCGTTGCCGTTGGTGACATCATGATAGCCACGCCCTCGGTGTGCGTGTGGTTATCTTCTGGGTGACTGGAGTAAATCACTGACTCACCCGTTGACAATTTGGTGAGTCCATTCGCGTTCCATCTGCTTTCACATATTCCCAGTACTTGGATTCCGTTTCTCTTTATCTCGTTTGCTATCTGGGCAGCTTTGCCAATCTCGTACATAGTTCGGACGTTCCATGTCCCCACACAGACTTTTTCTTTTGGCGCGAGAAGATTTATCATGCTGAAGTTTCTGTAGCAACTTTGTTTACAGGGTGGGGTTGCTAGCCTCATGCCTGAGAAAGGAATTGTTACATCAAGATAAAGTTTAGAGAGAAGCGACCTTGTGGGTTGCTTCCCTTAAATCGGTAAACAACGGATAAAACAATCAGAACAACACCAACAAAAGAAAAGTAATTCACAGCAAAAAGGGCAACAAGCGACAACAACAATAATAATGTCACATTCAAGCACAGTTAACCTAAATGACACCAAAACCTTAGAATCACTGCCTTGGGACAACATGACCATGTGAATTCAACAATATATACAGTTATAGATATTCCATAGTGATAAACAGTCACAATACATTAAACAGAATTAGTAGTTTACAAGATTATATCCACAGATTCAGTGTTCGAAAGGCAAATAATTACAATAATTTTGCAACTTCTTGGCAAGAAACTCCAAAGAAATAAGAGTTTTATCTGCACTATTAATTTAGAATAACTGCAAATCTTCCACGCAGATTCGTAATCATAATTGATGATTTCGTGAAGCAGGAATTCGCTTCCAATTTAATGACGCAGTAAATACTAGCTATATATTTTAATCGGCTCAGTGTACCAGACAAATCAGTATTGTTTCAAAGTGTCGTACTCAAAACTTCTAACAGTAAGATATTGTGTTTGTTTTATAAAAAACACTCTCATATCCGGTTGGAGCAAGCAGGAGGCGAGTTATGCAACAAACAACTTTATTTTCAAGAATCAGTTTGTAGGGATTGTTAGTTTTAGATGAGACCACGGGTTGATATCAGTTAGAGAACTATTGTAAACTAGCCACAGTGAGTACTGGACAACTATTATCACACTAGTCTGGAACCCTACGGCACTATTCACCCACCTCAGGCGGTTCGAACCCAGGACCTTTGGCTTACAATGCGAGCTCGTATATGACTTCTAACTTCTACCAGTTCGTGATTCTAGTGCGACTGGCACCACCCAGTGTCATCGGAATGAGCTCCATTCTCACTCCCGACTCGACGACCCCACTGGTCACAATTTCTCACTAGAAGCCCGAGCAACTTCGTCCTGTAGCCAGTCACTAACAACAATCACAATCTTTATAATCGTATTCTTGAAAGTTATTTCGATGCTCGATAGTGAGTGCGTAGTTCTGGTGAGTGGCAAAGCAGGATGAAATTTTTGTGTCCAACTGATATCAATCTCTGGTCTAACCTGAGATAATTTTTTCGCCTAACACAAGACTCTAGCCTCAATTCCACATCATCCCAGCCCCAATCTCGTTTCCAAATTACCGTCATAACATCGAATCACATCATGTGATGAGATTATCAACTGTGTGAATGGTCATATAGTTTCAGTCGTTCAAAGTATGCACCGAATTAGTACTCCAGAAAATATGCTTTAACAAATAGCTGTTGTATAAAAGAGACGATTTGTGGCACCGTTGGATGACCTGCAATAATAGAGTACTCGGACCTGGTTAGTTTAGTTACGGAGGTCTTGTGGTACTTCTGGACCACATTTCAGCGCAAAATTTTGGTATAAATTGAAATTAATATAATTTCTTATTAGTGATATTATTGCGTCCCGCGGTAAACATCTTTACATATTTATTTATCATTTTTTATGGAATTGGATTTTAAACTGTCTGGTCACATGATTTACTTTCTATTAGTCGGTATATTTGGTCTATCTTATCGTGTTTGTTAATTGCATGTTCGTTTGGGTACCAGGATTCGAGGAATTCCCCGGCACATTGGGGTTTCCTCTCTAAGATTTCGACATTACCCGAATCAAACTGATGTACAAAACTGTCTATATACATTGATATGAAAGAATATATATAGTGTATTTTCACGGCTGATTTTTGTTCCTGGATTTTGATACTAAGAGGACGCCCATTTTGACCGATGTAATGGATTTTACAGTTCATACAATTAATTTTTGACCAGTTACTTGCACATATCTACAAGGAAAGTTTGCAAAGTGATCTTTTGAACTCAGTAACCGACAAATGTCTCTATAAAATAGCTTTGTTGATGGTGACTTATCATTTGTGATCATAAATGTAGTTGACATAATATCCTACAGATCTTAGCATTGGTCATCCAAACACCGAATTACTGTTGAGGTGGTGAGAGGATGCTCAACCGAGCGTCTGACTGACTGTAAAGTCAGCGCCTAGATCAACATGTTGGAGGCCGACATGGAACGGACAAATGACAAACCCCTACAGTTCAGTGCTCAGAAATCTCAAGAGACATCTGATATTGTCTCTCTTCAGTGGTGGTTGTATAGTCAGTTGAGTAGGTCCTCACTGGCCAGACTGGGGATACTGGCTGTATGAACCTCTCACGAATGTATAGTTCAGACTGAATAGTTCGAATAACATTCGCCTCAGCTATATAGAGTAGATGATGTTGAATGGAGTCGACGGCCACTATCACAGCTACTAAATGTGATGAAGGTGAGAGCTGCAAATGGATTTTATCTACCCTTTAACAAACCACAATGGAAAGTGTTCGGCGACACGTCGGCTGATCTTTCTGGTGGCACGCCTAACATAACTGTCCGCGAGGTATCAAATAAACTGACAGATAAATATAGATGTGGCAAACTTATCTAGTTTAGCCTGCATTTGTAACTGTCAAAATAAATGAATTATTGGTGAGATATTATAAAGTTCTCACTCCTCTCACTATCACTTGTGAAGAAAAGCAGGACAACAGACTTTGGCTGTCTTGCTAGGTGGGATTCACTTTGGAGGAGTATGTATAGGAACCGGACACCGGACAGTCCATGGAATTCCTTGGTGGTGTGTCCATTACATGTTAAGGAAACAGTACTGAAATGAGTAAAATTGTGCACCAATTCCACCTCTATTTACTCTTAATCTACATTTCTAATCCTCATCTAGTTGTATTCCCAAGTTCGCTGTAATTTCAACTATCTCAATTCGGCTTTCATTTCTCAGATGAATTGACTTCACAAGTAAATGTGACCAGAGTGTTCAAAATGTGTTGTGCAGTCATATCACACTCTTTTCAGGTGAACTCCGTCTTCGAATTAGGCTGTCCAAATATCTCTGCTATCACAAACAACTTCACTTTTACATCCTTGTTATTAACGGAACTATTGTCATCATGATGAACAACTGCACAGTTTTTATGCACAATCTTCTCATCCTATTGACATGCCACTATGATTAATTTATGAAGTTGTGTGCATTAGAGTGTTGTCTGATGAGAGTCTCTTGGAAACAACATTGATCGCTGGCATGTGTTCTTGTGAAATTTTTAACTCTATTATTTTTCTGATGTACTTCTTGGTGAAATGACGAGACAACGACTTTAGCATTGAGTGACAACCTGTCCATATGAGAATCGCACACGATCACACTAATTTCTGAAACTGCCTAGTCACGTAATTATCTACCTTGAATCCACACCTGTTTTGCTTGGTATTCGATATTTTCATGCGAAAAATTTCGATGGATTAGGCGTCAGTGAGTGAGTGCTTATTTATTCTGTCGTCAATCGTCCCACAAGTTTATATTTCACGTTAAAATGTAAATATCGTCGAAGTCGTTACTATGTGTTATTGTTGATTCGTCACATTCACTAGAGGTCAGTTCAGGCAGGAATAGTTGTTTACAAATGAGGGGTATTCAGCGATCGTTATGAATCCATCCTTCCCCACTTCAAAAGACTTATCATGAGAATATTATTTATAAATTTACTTTATTTAGAATGAGTAGTTACAAGTACTTAATTCAACAGGGATGAAATAAATCAATCACGAGGTAGTCCACTTGTAACCGCTGACTCAATTCCACATTCATCTTTTCCACGTAACATTCTAAAGTATCCTTTCTCGCCCCAATCTTCATTCCATGAATTAGCAATCAACCAATAGGGCGTTTCCTTCTCTACACCCCATCCTATGATTCTGACAACATGTGAACCGATATCTATTCCTTCTATATGTTTGTAGATTCCCGATTTATAGTTTAGGAAATCTGAGTGTACTGTGAAAGCTGCTTCCACTGGTCCATGCATCATAATTTCTTTCTTGATTGAATCTTCGTTTTTAAGCAAGTTGTAAGAGACCTTCCCTGGTGAATGAGTGATAGATAAAGGTGAGAGTATGTAAAGTACCACTAATAATGTGACAGAAACGAGTGTTTACTCCAATTTCTCACCGATTTGAATGAGTATATGGTAATTATCTACAGCACTATCTAAGCACATGACAGTGATGTAATGATGACCACATAAATCAGTACAGAAAATATTCTGAACAGTATAACATCGTTAGAAGCGGTAATTATCAATTCGTCCTCCTCAGATGAGTACACTAATAATCACTAAGGCCTTATAGTGTCGATCGGTGTAGTCAAGAATTTCCAGACACCATGAATTGAATACCTGGATGCCTATTCACATGTTTCTTTACTATATCCGGCAGTCTGTTGTTGCTTTTACCGTCCCATTATGTTCTTTTGTTGTGTGCAATTCATTTGAAATTGTCTTTGAATTTAGAGGCACATAATGGAGCTCATTTCCCATTATTACTTCTGTTATTCTGTGTAATGTATAATGCGTTAGTGGATTAGGTATTGCTCAAATAGTGATAAAAGTAAAGTGGACAACACATATTTCAGTTGTCATCAGTTAATTCTCATACACCACAATTCTCACTAGTATTCTTCTCATATAGAGATTATTCACTGGTAAGTATGCATTATAACTATTTCATTATATATATATATATATATATATGCATAGTCATGTATGGTCTTAAAAATGTGTCATGAGAACTTCTCATTCACTCTTCAAATATGATCACGGTTGAACTATTTGTGAACACTGGAGAAACGACAATATTAATTTAAATTCAGAACACATCCACTATTATCAACAATAATGTTTTTCATTCCATTATGGGTAAATTTTGTTTGATAAAGTCTCACAGCGTTATACAGTAATGTTTACTGATGACGTTTCGAGCACAATTTATTGCTCATAATCATATCAAGGTAATCACACGACTTCCTAAATTCATTTATATAGTTCCATTGTTTTTCTCTTGATTTTCACTTGATTTGATTGGTAATAGTATTTTCCATATTTCAGGTATGAGTGACGAGTCATTCCTATTGCATGTGTTGGGTGTAGACTCGATGAACAAGGATTCAGCAATCAACCTCTCTCTCCACCTACCTAGATTACTTCTTAGAATTTTAACCCTCTCCCACCCTATTGTGTGGTTGTGCGTTAGCGCATGCATTGTAATTGCTGAGCTTTTTTCTAAATTACTTATCTTCTCGGGGTCAACCGTTCTTACCCCAGCTAAATTTTTATGCTCTGACAATCTGACTACCCCTGACTTACTAGTTTAACCTATGTAGTTGACCTCACAGTCAATGCATGGTATTTTGTAAATAATATTATTTTGTCTAATTGGGTCAACTGGGTCCTTTAACCTACAGAGCTTGTCCCTGAGTGAGTTTGTAGGTTTAAATGCCACCCTAATTCCTATTTTATTCAGAATCCTACGTAGTGTCTCAGATGTCCCCTCTTTATATGGTATAACTGTGGATGACTTATATTCTTTCTTATTTATGTTATTATTACTAGTTTCACAATTATTTTTATTTTGTTTTTGGCCTTTAATGATCTTCCTAATGAATTTTATAGGATAGTTATTCAACACCAACGCTTCTTCTATCTGTTTTAATTCATCATTTAGATCTTTTTTTGTGCTACTTAGTGCCACTGCTCGGTTTGTTAAACATTTAACTAAGCCTGCCTTAACAGTTAAAGGATGAGACGAATTAAAGTCTAAATATCTATTAGAATGCGTTGGTTTTCTATAAACACTAGTGTGTAGTTTGCCTTCTTCTATTCTTTTTATCTTACAATCTAACATAGCTAAAAATAATTGTGAAACTAGTAATAATAACATAAATAAGAAAGAATATAAGTCATCCACAGTTATACCATATAAAGAGGGGACATCTGAGACACTACGTAGGATTCTGAATAAAATAGGAATTAGGGTGGCATTTAAACCTACAAACTCACTCAGGGACAAGCTCTGTAGGTTAAAGGACCCAGTTGACCCAATTAGACAAAATAATATTATTTACAAAATACCATGCATTGACTGTGAGGTCAACTACATAGGTTAAACTAGTCAGGGGTAGTCAGATTGTCAGAGCATAAAAATTTAGCTGGGGTAAGAACGGTTGACCCCGAGAAGATAAGTAATTTAGAAAAAAGCTCAGCAATTACAATGCATGCGCTAACGCACAACCACACAATAGGGTGGGAGAGGGTTAAAATTCTAAGAAGTAATCTAGGTAGGTGGAGAGAGAGGTTGATTGCTGAATCCTTGTTCATCGAGTCTACACCCAACACATGCAATAGGAATGACTCGTCACTCATACCTGAAATATGGAAAATACTATTACCAATCAAATCAAGTGAAAATCAAGAGAAAAACAATGGAACTATATAAATGAATTTAGGAAGTCGTGTGATTACCTTGATATGATTATGAGCAATAAATTGTGCTCGAAACGTCATCAGTAAACATTACTGTATAACGCTGTGAGACTTTATCAAACAAAATTTACCCATAATGGAATTACACTCTACCACAGTGCACAAGTTTTATTCTTATATGAATGTTTTTCATTCTTTTATGTTTCCAGTTGAAAATAGGGCTTCAAGCTAGAGGCTTGAAGTTTCGGTAGCAGCAGCCTCAAGTTCAACCTTCCCACTTCGCCTGTCTCACTGCTAGCTCAGCGAGGTGTAGGAGTGCATCTGTCGCCGGAGATCGAACCATGAACCACCTGAGTGGTTGGTGAGCATTCTACCGCTGTGTCACCGACGCCCAATAATAATAATAATGGTGTGAGGGAATTAATACATTAGGATAAGTCGGAAGAAATTCGATATGAAAAGTCGACTCCTATGTTACCCTCCTGTTAACATATGCCGGCCTGCTTCAATCACTTCGCTATTCGAACTTTCTTCCATCAAAAGGCTTCAACTCTTCTGCATTTCTTATTGTTTAAATCATAAAGTTATGTCAGAAAATCACTACATGAAGGCGCGAACATATTTCAGAAACTTTCAGTTAAACTCTGAGCAGTCTGTGAAGGGAAACGAAGAGAAAGTGTACAGATTCGATTCTCTGTTTCAATGCAACAACAGTACTCAACAGGATATACTTCAGATTATTACTTGACATGTAAATCCTGTCTGAAGTGGAAATATATGGGAGGAAATGCGCTGAACATTTCTGTGCCATGTGTTCATATTTTGTATGAAATAAGGCCACATTATTGTTAGCATTCTAAAATCCACTTGCTAAAGACATCAGTATGGGGTTTCACTATTACATAAAAGAACAGTAAATAGGAGAAGAACTTAAATATCTGAATGAATTTCGTCATCATCCTCATCAGCCTTACTTACCATAGTACTTTTCTTTCTCATAGGGTGTTTTGTACCCTTTCTGACACTTCTGATGACATTTCGGTTTCATGTAAATTATTTCACCACATTCTGGATACCTTCCTTTAGTATGATGTTCACATTTAGGGAATGGATATGGTTGACAGCCTGTGTGATTCTCTTTCGAACCACCAGTAACAATACCTTCTTGAACCCAGTAATCCCATGCTATTCCTGGAAATCCCATTTGGCAGCCCAAACCACATTCTATACAACAGCTGAGTAGATCGACTGCACTTAATTCCACAGATTTCTTCCCTTTCGACTCAATGCAGATACGATCACTCATTGCTTGAACTGCAGCAAATGCCTGAAAAACGATAAAAGCAATTTCCCGAATATATTACAGTAGTGCACCTATTGCTCTTCGCGTACCGCGAAAATAGTTATAGTGATCAGTTTGATGACAATATCAATGATAATGATGACTTAATTTTCTACAGCTCAAATGCATAGCACCAAACAAAACACCCTACTCACAGCTTCTAGTGTACTTCACAAAGTCTTCCTAAAAATACCAAGTTTCTACTTCATTACCGTTCACTTCACAGCACTCATGAGGATTAACTAGACCATTTAGGATTCAATGATATATGAGAATTAGTAAGGTGCCTCTTCAGTAGAATCCGACGAATATGCACTGAAGACACACTTGATGAAGAAGAAAGAATATTGACACAAACTCTGGTTGATAACAATTATTCAGACAAGTTCATCAGGAGATATAAAGTAGTCAGTGGAACACCAAGACCCACTCTCCAACTCGCCCCTAAGAAAAACGTTTACATCAAGCTACCCTATATGGGACATCAAAGCAGCTTGTTAACTAGACAAAGGCTGAACGCTGCTGTTAAAAAGACTTTTTATGCAGCTAATATCATAATAATAGATAATGTAAAGTCAATATATCTATCTAAGCCCTTCGAACATGCGAAAAATGACGTCACATCCCACTGTATTTACCAATTTGGATGTACGTGTGGACACACATACATAGGGAGGACTCATCGATCTCTGCAAGTAAGGGCTGCCTTCAGAGCATATTCCAAAATGGCTCCAGAAACAAATGGAATCATCAGAATCTATTAACGGTGAGAACAGGAGACCTAGCTCTTCTATTGCGAAGCATATTATAGAGACAGGTAATAAAATTGATGTTAACAGATCTTTTAAACCTATCTATAAAACGTGTTTGGGGCGTATCCTAAAGTTTGTGGAAGCCCTAGCTGTCAATTAGAAAGTTCAAGCCACCTTTATGCGTTCAAAAACAATTTTTCATCACATTAAACCTTCCTTGGTAAATTTTGTTTTGATACCATAGCAGATGTACTATTACCTCTCCTATTTGGTTTAGTGGTCTTCATTGTTATTTTGACCTTGAATATGTCCTTTTAACTTAACCTAAGTCTATTTTTCTCACCTCTTACCTATTTATTAATTTCATTTATATTTCTATGACAAGTCCGTGTGTGATCAGATTGCTCGAAATGTGTTGCGCAAATACATTACACGATTCAGACAAATTACGTCATCTTATTGCTTTATGTAAATTCACAAAGGGAGCTGATTGTTTTAGAGATATGATTCACCTGATATTTAGTTGGATTCAGCTTGCGACCACTTGACAAGGACTACTGGCTACTTTCTCATATTTATGCTATTCATTTTAGGAGAATCTCAGTGGGGAGTAACAAGGCAAACGAAACAGTCTGCACATCAGTATACTTCACTAAATTAGCTTCGTTAGGGTAGGGATGAATCACCCACGAAAAACGAGGAGAGCAAAGTAGAGAGAGCAGAAGCTTCAGGGACATTAGCTTTAGCGACCTATAAGGTGAAAGGCACTCACTCGTATATTCCCCACTTTTCACTTCACAATCCAGCTCTTATTCTCAGTCACAACCAACTTGTTCAAACAAAGAGATCAAAAGCAGATTTATGATCTGTGTTTTTACAGTGGATGCACATGTCACCTTTGTTTTACCTGGTAATGCAATTACAATGAAAATCAGATACAACTTCCGAATTACTTCCTCGGTATTTGTAAGTCAGCTGGTTTAGATCATTCAGAGTTTTTAATGAAGGTTTACTATTACGTGAGAGTAATTTTCCAACGTTTCTCAAAACATATGAGGTAGAAGCAGTGATTTTAAACTTTGAACATCATTGAGTGAATGATTTCACTGATGGTACAATCCTAATGGCCTACCAAAAGACAGGGAGTAAAAGCTTTAGGAAATGATGCACCGAAAACACCAGTCACAGGACAACAGTTGCAACCGCATATTTTCTGAGATTACTATCAAACATGTCATCCAGACACAGGCTTTGTGAAGAATTTAAGGAGCGATACTTTTTTTACTAACATCAATTGTGTCAAGACAAGGAAGGAACTGATCATTTTGATTTGTAACAGAAGAAAGCTTAGCATATGTGGACAACATATGAAATAATTGCTATGGCAACAAGCATATTTCTAGATGAAATACTGCTCAAACCTACCCAGCCAGCACCACATCGGGATTGGTCACGAATATTCGATATTCCTTTACACTGACGCCACTTCTTTCGTGAGTCAAAGCTCGTCGGTATTTCCAAGCTCACATTTTGATGGTCAACTGTTGGTCGTCTCTTCTTTCTCAACTCTTCATCCTCACGCATCGCACCGAGTAGAATTCGTGCGTCTTCTAGCGATTTGAATCGATCACTTCGGCTAGCTGTCCAACCAGCATCAGGCTGAAAAATGAAGGAGAGACAGGGAGGGGACGTAAGTGCTCAAAATAATTCAAACTGATTAACATTGTAACTGAATGATGCGAAACAGTGAAGTAAACCACCTCTCACTCTTTGACTGTTTTATCGGTTAGGATGATTTTAGATGCTGAGCGGTATCATCGTCGAGTAGGTGGGCAGGTGAATGTACACCTACCTGATAGAAGAGACATTACAGTCACAGTGTCACACAGAATATTAGATGGTTTGAGGCAATCGGCAGGTGGCCTTGGACGAATGGTTTTACGCCTGTTGTCATTCGTAATCGAAGTTTACATGCAAATTTCAGGCAACTGCACTTGAAGACTGAGGTGAATAAAACTTGTAGTCGTGCGAAATATAGAGGCTGACTTCAGCAAATTTCTTGTTTACGAACGATTTCAGTGAGGATGAATGCGTTTCTGCATTCCTGACAAAATTGACACTTGCATGAAACATGAAACACGAGTGGTCAAGTAAAGCAGACTATCATCGTTCGACATGGAATAATGAAATCACGGATTGACTTCAGATAACCAACCGTCTAACAGAATGTATTCTTCACCTGAGGGAAGCGTATTGATTGGTGAGGTGTGTCTCGCTGCTCGTCACTAGACATTTCTGCATCGAACACATTCATCATCAATTCATCATCACATTCGTAGATATTCGATAGTGAGAATGAGTGAGTGTGTGTATCACATAAGTAGTATGGTAAGCAGTATACCAGACAGGAAATATTTTATTGAAAGTGTAACTTACATGCTGATTGATATACGCAATCATTTCATCCGACAAGGGCTCGAATTGTATCTCATTCTCGGGGAGTATATGAGCAGTGAGGATGCTCATGAAGGAGACGATACACAACACTGTATTCATCATTCTTCACTGGGTGATGAGGTGATGCTCAAACTATACAAATGTCTTCATATCTTATTCTTTTATAAATAGCCTAACTGATAACGACCTTTGAATCATAATATGGTGATTTTTTCTGTTTAGTTTTTACTTCATCTTATCACTGCTGTTATCGAAACACTTGAGTGAGTTGATTCTGTTTGACTTTTTATATATTGTTTTGTTCAAAGTACATGAAAATAGTCTTCTCCGTAAACATCAAAACTATTTTATCTATGTGGATGAAGTTCGAGTCGAAGAGTCTTATTCACACTAAACTATATTCAAATAGCAATATTGTTTGTTTATAATGGTTTGTTTAATTAATTATTCACTCAGAAGTACGAAATCATAACTGTTAGATGAAAGTACAAAAAAATTGAATGGAAAGAGATGTGTGTACGTGTGTGTTGACTGATTTGAGAGCACAAATTTTGAGTCTCCTATTGATTTGTTCGTCAAGATGTATTACAAATTTATCACAGTGTAAATGCTCAACTCATTCTTTCAGGTGAGTGTTGCATATCTGTATTATTTCGGGAATCATGATTGCTTCTCCGAAGTTATTATGATGTTCAGCTTCATGGAGAACAATAAGGCTGATTGAAGTTGAGATGGAGACATTCACTCCACTGGTGGGTGACGCACTGTCACAAGTTTTGAAATCCATAATTATTTCATATGTCTACGGATTCCAAAACTCCCTGAAATGAATGCAGTCACAACTCAACAAACAGACATTGTCATGGTCGATAACAGCCTAAATCAAGTAGCCGTTTCATTAAGACCCGATCAGACGAATGTGGTGGTCGTGTATTCCAACTAGGCAAAACTGATGACAGAGATGAAATGGAAGTTCCTATAGACAATGAAAGGAAATTATAAGAATTAAAAGTGTTAATCGTTATGATTTGAAAGATTGACAACTAGTTACCTGATTGGTAGAGATACTTAAATCTTCAACACACAATACCTTATGCTGGCTGCATGTGAATAGCTCGTCAACTGACAAAGTCTGTATTTCCATACAGATCGAATCTGTCAAATACAGGTTACACCAACTGAGATTTACTTAACGAAGTGGTGAACTTTATGTTGTCGCGTTGTCTGAACTGAGTAGTTATTTTTGAATCAGACTTTATGACCTACACTGTAGAGAGCATTGAATGTATTGACTAGAAGTAGAATGGGATCTGAGAAAATCAGTCAACCTCACAGAATATGATCCACTTTATATTTCCTGCTGAACTATATTTCTCTTCTTTGGTTTTCATAGTAAATGATACATCAAGGCTCTATTTTTGCTTCTTTCAATTTGTTTTGCATACTCAGCATTTTTCCAGTTACCCCTTCACCTTAGTGTATGTAGAAGTTTAAATAATCTCCCAGAATCCTTACCAAAAATAATACCACTCCCTTGTGTTTATTTGTAGGTGAGTGACTGGTGACGGATTTCTCCACCCTAGCAGACAGGAAACAGTTGCTGCAGTATTTCCAGAGAACAAAGCACAAAGCAGATGGACAGTTACCGGCGTTTACATGAAAATGCAGAACCCCTACCCTCAATGAATATTTACATTTACAAATATTGGTGTCCTAGTTTTTTTCTTTACGTGTTTCAACGCTAATTCCCAGCAATAACAACTGGTCATTACTGTACCACCGATGGACATGTTAGAGCCATCAGAAGTGACCAGACAGTTACTGAGTAGAACTTTGGCTGAGATGAATTAAAACTAAGGTGAAGACAAATCAAAAACTGACAGTTGCATGTATCTCTTCTGTGAACGACAGACATTAGAAACTAACATACTGAGCCAGTTTCCTTTATCAGAACAAACATATTTGCAGGATAAAATGGGCTCGTTTTATTTCGTGTCTTTGTCTTCAGCTGTGTACACAGCTTGAAATCTATCTATCAAATAGATACTGGCTAGATAAGAATCAGTGTTATACCGTTAGAAGATGAGACATTAAAAGCGCAGTTATTCACTAAACTAAGATCGAAACCCATACTGTTGCTATTATAAGGCAAGATAGGAAATTCCAGCGACAGTTCTGAAGATGACAACATTTATGATATGCACAGGGTTTTACTCCACTCAGAACACGTTAGACGACAAGTTCAGATGTTCAGATATATTGTTACTGAAGAACCTGATAGGCAACATATTCCTGCAGTGTTGTGAGTAAAATAGCTCAAAGTACGCTATAAAGCATTGATTTTCAAGGTTGAGACCATATATCAAACCGACTGAAGTGGAAACGCTTTGTGGTGGTACGATACAGACAATGTCTTCCAACGGAATATTATTCCCTAATTTAGGGTCATTGTCCTTGTTGGTGTTAACATCTGAGTTCTATTCACGAAGTTCAGTTCTGCAATTGCAACAGAATAAAATATGTATTTGAATATTCTGTTTCATGTCATTTAATGAAAAAACCGAAATCACACGCCCCGTGATTGTTTAAAGAATATAAACTCTATAGTTATGTAAATAGCTGTTCGACCACTTGGAAATTTACCTTGGCCTCCGTGTCTTGTCTTCTGCTGTTAGACCACCTGCAGGATGTTGATCTGTTTACAGCTCTAGACATCCGGCCGGGATACTGACAGCTGCTGATAAAAATAATATTAGAAAGTTTGGCTTCAGTTCATGAATAGTCAAGTTCTATGTTGCATTAGGAGGTTGGAAACGTAGAAAGAAAGGGACTTTCGGAATGTTGCTGCAACTAATCACCACACTGATGATGTTAATAGTCTCTTCACTGCGTTTTGTTTTCTCAGTGTTACAATGAAAATTGTTATACTACTGAAAATAATTAACAAGCGGTATATAGTGTGGTTTCTTCTGTGCATGTCTTCAACAAGGCAGTAGTGGATCAACTTGCAAACATGAGAATCTAGAAGACATTTGAATCCATATTGGGAGCATGAAATACTATAAGAAAGAAGCAGAACATAAATGCTGATCTAAACTAAATTTTCTATGTACGATTATTATGTCTTAACTGTGCACCATGTGATTCTGCTTAAAAACACAGTTTTGCAATAGTGATTCTCGGAATGTTCTTCACACTAATAATATATTAGGACTTGGCTAAAATCAGTGAAAACAGGTTTGCATCAACTTAAACCAGAATCGACCAATTAAGTCACTGGGTTGAGGTGGAATATTTGTCATAATGTGATTGAACAACCACAGATAGCTGACTCTATGCAATCAAATCAAATTATGCATTACATGGCTCAAATTTCTGAGTATTTGCAGTGTATACATACTGTGTTTTTATATAATTAAGTGAATAGTCTAACGAGCTCGACTAGATTCATCTGCATCCATTAGAGCTGTAACCTTTCCGCAAATACTCCAAGAAACAGGCCATCATGTCATGTAGCACAAATTTACTTCCCGTGAAGCGACGCAACAAATCCGAATAGCTTTCATCCAGCTTAGTGCTGCAGATAAATAAGTACTGACTGATGGGAACTCACTAATTTGCAAATGTTATAACCATCCTGGCAGCGACACCATAAGCCGGGGTGGCCGAGCGGTCTAAGGCTCCAGACTCAAGAGTAATCTTCTGGGTGTTCTGGTCCACGGTATGGGCGCGGATTCGAGTCCCACCTCTGACACACGCTTCGCGTCTGTGGCAAAGCGGTTAGGACGCTCGCCGACCATGTACATGGTCGGGGGTCCGATCCCGGCCGCACACTTGGTCGCCCTCCTGTACCTCTCTAAGCCAGAAATAATGTGGTAAAGAGGAAAGGCTGGGCATCAGGCTAGCCACCCCATGCTGTAAAATTAAACACTGTTACAGAAAATTCAAGCCACTAGCTTGAGTCCCTATGCTCCACTGGGAAAGTGAACGAAAAAACAATAACCATCATTCTAACAATGAAACATGGCGTCAGTATTAGCTGAGATGTATTAGAAAAGTAGATGTAAATACTTTCTAATCGATGTACCACAATGAAAAATGTTCATATGCCAAAAGAACCATATTAAGAAAGCTAGATACCAAAGTGCAGTATACACACTTCCCTAGCTTCGTACCGATGAAATACAAACGTAATCTGATCGGTGATTTGTATTTAGAGCGACGTTCATTTGTTCCGAAGACTGTGTACAGAAAGAACTCCAGGTCATCCGAGACATTCTAAGCGAGAACGGATATCCAGAGAAGTTCGTTAAAGCCAACACAGGTTACAGTAGTCGTAAACATGAACTGGCAACTGTGGAGAAAAAGCTTTTGTTTTTACGTCTCCAATTCAAGGGAGATACTCCTGCAGAGATTCTATCGCAACTTTTAACCAGGTCGATAAAGAAAACTTTCTACTCTGCACGTCTATGTCTATCCTTCAGTAGCCGTCCATTGTTCACCCAACAACTCAAAGATGTCTTACCTAACCTTAGCTCTTCTTCATGCATATACCATTTCAACTCTTCCTGTGGTTCAAGTATATAGGGCGAACGATTAGGCAGGTTCGTCTACGGGTTTGAGAACATTCACCAGCTTGGTTCAGCAAGGTAGAAATTAAGTGCATATAAAGCTCGATCCTGTCACACTTGGTCGATACTGGACATCGTATCGATGTCAACACAGCTTTCAGGGTTATATACCGAATTCCGAAGTCGTTATCACGTACAGTTCGCTTACGTCTCCTACACATAGCTGAAGCTGTTGCAGTAGGATCGACTAAACCCTAACTTTGTATCCAAAAAGAACACGTCCAGACGCTGTTCCCACCGTTGCCAAACTTCGATTGATGATTCTTCTTCTCACCAAGAGTGCTGCTTCCCTTAACCCTATTGGTTTTTTCCTTTGCTTATTATTACAATTATTATTATTATTCGTCATAATTCATGTCCTTCATGCAAACATTCCTCAATACTATCGAATTTTCCATTTATACTATCCTCACTTATTATTAGTGATATTATCTCTTTTCTCAATACATATGCCTCCACCTGTTTCATCTC